CCTGACTCTCCCTGGCCCTCCCTGACCCCTCCCTAATCACATGGTGGGCGACCACATGATGTTATTTTAAAGATTTGTGTGTGTGTGTGTGTGTGTGTGTGTGTGTGTGTGTGTGTGTGTGTGTTTCCTTATTGCCCCATCGTCTCCCTTCTGTAAAACTACTCGTGATTTTACTCCTTAAAAGGGGGCCAAGAGATGGATTCAGGGCTGCTCTCTTTAACCCGACTTAGAAGGCAGTTGCTGACCAGCTCTTGGGTGCACCCCAATAAAAACCAAGCTTTCTTCAAATTTGGCTCAAATTGTGGTAGTGGTCTTATTCTCACCATTGGGATTAACAAAGCACATGAGAGAGGCTGCTATAAACATAGGATTTCCTAAGGACTCTCTTAGCCAGACTGATATTGAAGACCTGGGAGAACTTGGTTACATCTTAATCCCTGACTCCAGGCTGGCTGACCCAGGCTGCAGCTCCTGAACAGTCTCATTCCCTCTTCTGCAGCCTAAAGCCCACAACTCTACTACTCCTTACAGTTAGATACGGCCTCCGCTGCCAGCCCAGGCTCACCCCATGCTGAAGCAGCGCAGACATCCACTGGGGCAAAGCAAACCCTTCAGAGCTAGGAGAGCATGCAGCTGAGAGTGTGCAGCTCCTTATCTGGTGAATTCTTAAGGGGTGATGGTGCCGGCTGATAATTATGAGGCCTGTGTTTACATGCTTGTCCCAGAACTTGGCCTCCAGCTTCCTGGGAGAACGGAGTGAAGTCACAAGACTCCAGAGCCTGAGAGCTACCACAGAGATACTGGCTTTCCAATGCTGTCCGTTTGTAAACAGATGAAGCCAAGCTGAGAGAGATGCTGCACTTTAGTGACGGGATCAGGGGAGATGGAGCGGGAAGGCTCGTTTTCCTGAGGTCACTTTTCCCTGTCAGAGCTCAGGCAAAAGTGAAGGAATTGGTCACTGAAGGGACCCAGGGCCTTTAGGAACTGCTGCAATTCGTCATTAGAGATAGAGCCTGTCTCTAGAGCTGCAGCATCTCTGAGGCAGGCAGAAGGGGGAACTTACTTTGGAAGATGCAGAAATATTAATATTTAGGGGAGTCGTGACTTCCAACTTACAGGTCCCTCCTCCTGTCTCTGTACTTGTGAGAGGACACTTGACAGGCTGTGTGTTCTGAAGACCATGTGAGTGATGTGCGTGACACCTTTGTACGTGTGTGTGTGTGTGTGTGTGTGTGTGTGTGTGTGTGTGTGTGTGTGTGTATTAGAGGGAGAGAGAGACAAAGAGACAGAGAAAGACAGAGACAGAGAGGCAGAGAGTCACTAGGTTGTCAGAGCCAGCCTGGATCTTTCTGCAACTTCCTGCCTCAGACTCCTCCGTCTACAAGTAAATACCTGCAACATCATGCCAGCTCATTATTACTAATATTATTTTGCAGTTCACACCCAGAAAAGTGGTCCTTAGAGAAGGGGCTAGTCTTGTGGATAATTTGATTCTTATGGGTTCTCCTGTGAGGCTACAGCCCTTGCCTTGGCAGGGAGCACTGGCTCTCACAGACAGGAAGCTAAAGCCACATGGAGTCAGAGCGACATCACAGGATACAGCAAGGCTGGTGTGAGATCTCAGCCAAATTCTCAGTGATGGAGGTGGCTTTTGGAAGTTCTAGTGCAGAGAACCACCCATTCCAAAGTTGGTCGAATTTGTCCATCCTAAAGCTACTTCTTCCTTTAGTGATTAAGTCGGCAAGAATTGCCAAGCAGTGGTGGCGCATGTCTTTAATCCCAGCACTCGGGAGGCAGAGGCAGGTGGATCTCTGTGAGTTCAAGACCAGCCTGGTCTACAAATGAAGTTACAGGATAGCCAGGGCTCTACAGGAAAAAAAATTAATAAGTAACTAGTAAGTGAAAAGGCAAATATTTATTTACTAGTTTAACCTTACTGACGTTCCTTGAGTGGATTAATGCTAATATGGTTGTCACAACATGGCTTTTCCAATTCAATCATCTCTTGCGCATGGATCAGGTGACAAAATGTTTGAGGAAGTTTTCCCATTTCTTCATTGTTTATTCATTCCCATGTATCCTCCTGAATTCCATTTCAGTCTCTGGACTGTTGTTGACCAATGTCAGTGTTTGTGTGTATGCTCTGTTTGAGCTGGCTTCTGTGTCCTAGGGGCAGGAATCATCATCCACTGATCTTAAACATGAAGCCATCATCCTTCCTTGGCTTCTCAACACTCTGGTTTCTTCTCATGGGAAATGGCACACATGTGTCTCTAGTTGCACAAATATTCACATCTGTATTGCTATGTCACTGTATTGAAAGCCAAGAGTTCTTCCTCATTTTTGCCCAGTTCTAAAGGGTATATTTTAGTTTTGTAACTTTTCATAGCTGTAGACTTTTCTTTTGATAGGATATCTGGCTCAGAGCTCACTACATGATTTGCTCACTGCTGGAAAATGCAAAAGCAAGCAGCTCCCAATGCACAGGGAAAACGTGCTGCTGATGGTATAAACGCATGAACTTCTCCCTTCTGCCGCGGTCTCCTTCGTTGTTTGTGGACTTTGTTTTGGTTTGCTGTTCATTATCATTTTAAGTGAAGAAGCATTTTTAATTATTAGTATGCCTCTATTATTTTGCAAGGCCTGTTTAAAGTATAAACATAAAATATTTAGCTCAAGCACAGGGTCACACACTGTAAAACTCTTATTTTGGAGCACACACTTGAAATGAGTATTGTTCTCAACAGAGCAGAGGAAATACTGCACAGAATCAGCAAGAGTGTTTTCATCTCGATTCTAGATATGCACCATCTACTAACAAGCCCTGCTATTGATTATTGATGAGCCTGGATTACTGACATGAAAGGGAATTATGGCTTACTCTATCATTTCTCCTGTTCTCTGTCACATTCCACACAAGAGATTGTCTCATGATCAGAAGTGGCGCAGATAAGTCATACCCTCCCTAATGATTTCCTACCTAAAACTCAGCAGGTTTGAGACTATCCCATCAACCAAAGCCCTTATTTCATCACATTTTGTATATATTTGCATATATTCATCAAATTTTCATATGTTGTATGAGTGTAATTCACAGTTCTGCCTACACTCAAGGGAAGGGATCACACAGGGAAGGTCATTGGAGGGTCATAGATTCTGACTACCACATCTGTCTTGGGGCAAATGTTGGTGGAAAGTTGCCAACATTTAACAGCCTACACTGTACACAGAACATTACAGAGTCCAGGGAGCCAGAAGAATGAATTACTACAAAAGCAGACAAGCTACTGAAAAAAAAATGAAGTGTAAATATTTTCAGATGATATAAAAAGATGGTAGTTTGGCCATTTTGGTAATAAATGAATATAATAGTAAGTTATCTTTTAAATGTACACACTATAGTCTCAGAAATACTAAGTAGTCAAATAAAGGTATAATAATGTTCCAGACATTGCCTAAATAGGAAGCCAAAAGCACATGTCTGCCCAGACCTTAGACTGTGACTTTATTTGAATAAAGGGCCTTTGCAAACAGAATAAGTTACATTAAGATATATTTCCAGGTGTGATGGTGCACACCTTTAATCCCAGCACTCAGAAGGCAGAGGAAGAGGAATCTCTGTGAGTTTGAGGTCAGCCTGGTCGATGTAGTTCTTGGACAGCCAAGGCTACATAGTGAGACCCTGTCTCAAAAAAAACAAATAATATTGACGATGATGATGGCATGCTTGGTGAGGGTGGGTCATGAATCCAATGGCTGGTTTCTCTATAAGAGCAACATGAGAAGTCAGAGAAGTCAGCACTTCTGAAGAAGAAACTATAAGGCCAGCAGCCAGCAAAAGTAGGGGAGAGTCAGTGAGGGCAACACCAGAGCCTCAAAAGGAAGACCCACCCCTCTGAGAAGTTGACGGAGTACTGCATTAAGGAAGGGACAAAGTGGTGTGTTCTAATCCTAGAAGCTTCGTGAACTGGTAGGAGACAGAAGCAAGGTCAAGGCTGTGAGAAAGAGCGTCTATGAGAAACAGCATCTGAAAACCACATTTTGCTTCTTGAGCCCTACAGCTCCCTAATGGTAGTCCCCACCACTAAGCAGTCCCAGGGGAAGCCATCTGACAAGGAGCCCTGAAGTATAGGTGTCCACCCACCGTCACCACCATGCACACTGGAGGAAGGTCAGGACTGGAAGCAAGCAGGCCTCCGAGCAGTAGATGAGACACTAACTGTGGGGAGCAGGGTTAGGGTGAGCTAGAGAGGTTTTCCACCCCACGGTTACCACTTAGTTTTTGAATGCTTTTCTCTTTTCAAACCATTTGGCGCAAATGTGACCCGATGTGAGCGTCTTTAAGTGTGTAAGATGGGTGGCCAGGTGCCTTTATGTTCTTCTCTATGCCTTTCTCAATGGCTGCAATGTTTCCAAGAAGAAATACTATAGAAAAGGAGCACGTCCCAAATAAATGGCGATAGATTTTTCATGTGCAGACTCCCCATTTACCCAGGTATGTCCTTTGTGGATTTCAGACTCTTTCCCCACCAGCCCTGACTCTTAGGCCTGATGGGGTATTAAAGACACACTGACTCTAAGGCATGATGGGGTATTAAAGGCAAGGTTGGGGAGTGACCAGAAGAAAGTGCCAAGAAAGTCACCGGGAAATAGAAGAGGTAAGAAGACTTGGGCAGAGGAGGGCATCAAATTGCCTTGTGTTCTCTGTGAGAGCACCTTCCTTTGAAACTTGGTTTTAGCCACTCACTTCTCAGGGACCTCAAGCAAGCAAGCTCGTGGCTTTGCCACGCTTCCATTTTGTCCCGTGTAAAATGTGAAGGATAAGAGTTGGCCCCAACGAGTTCACTCATTCAAAAATCACCTCAAAACTTGTTGGGTATGTTTGTGACTGTTATGATTTTTATTGTTTTATCTTTATATCCTCCTATGTTACCAGAGTTTCTGGGTTTTTTGACGAACATTCAGTCAGTTTAAATTAGTGAAAGAAATGCCCATTCGCTTCTCAGAGTCACATTTCCTTGCAGTCTACTCCTGGGTTCAGCATGAGGATTTAAGAACAGCATCACCAAGAGCACAATGTCAGGCAGGCTTGCCTCAGATGGGAGTCCAGGAATGAGTGAGGTGTACGTCAGCAAAGCCTCATCAGATGGTTTAGCCTCAATATTCCTCATTGTAGGGATATTCTTCCATGTTTACTGTCCTGCAGCAACAAGCATGGAGAAAACGTTAGTGTCATCTAATGATTTTTTTTTTTTTAGACAAGGTCCCATGTATCCTAGTCTGGCTCTGAACTCTATGCAGCAGAGAACAACTTTGAACTTACAATCCTCCTGCCCCCACCACCAGAGGACTGTGATTAGAAGCATGTGCCACCAGGCCTGGTTTTACTTATTTTTTTTATTATTTCTCTTATGTATTGAGATTATAATATGATCATATCCCTTCCCTCTTCCCTTTCCTCCCTCCAGAACTTCCCATATGCCTCTCCTTGATCTCTTAGGAATGTGTATGTATATACATAAACATACATGTATGTAACAACAATTAATGAAAAAAGAGGCCATGGATTTAGAAGAGGCCTGGTTTTATGTACTACTGGGGATCCAACTCAAGTGTTCATGTATACCAGATAAACACTCTCTCAACTGAGCCACTTCCCAGTCCAGGCATTCTTATATGGAATATATAAGAATGTACTTTCTATGTGCTTTCTCAGCCTCTCCTCACCTCATTCCCTGGAACGATTGTTGGGGAATATTATTTCAAGGTGTGTTACTTTTGTTTATGTTGTATTTGTTTAACTCTGTGAAGCTGTGTTACTGTGCCTGTCTAAAACACCTGATGGTCTAATAAAGAGCTGAATGGCCAATAGCAAGGCAGGAGAAAGGATAGGTGGGACTGGCACACAGAGAGGATAAGTAGAAGGAGAAACCTGGAGGAAGGAGATGGAGGAATTAGAGAGGAAGGGGGAGGACTTCAGGGCCAGCCACCAAGCTACCCAGCCACCCAGCCACACAGTCAGACACAGACTAAGAAGTAAAGAAAAGGTATACAGAAAAGAGGGTAGAGAAGTATGCAGTGGCCAGGGTCTCAGAAACAGGCCCACTGTCAAGGCCCTCATAGATACTGTTCATTCCATATTACAGAAAAGTGGGAAATCATGATGAAATTGATAGATTGGTTGTTGTATTATAGTTGTTGTATTAAACAAGGCAAGATAAGCCATGAGCTAGGATCTCTGATAAATCCTAAACTTGTATTCAATGGATATTTGCTGTATTTGGTATTATCATTCCTACTCTGTAAATAAGGAATCGGAATTGGCAAAGTTATAAATCTATCCAAGACTTCATAGCTATTGAATGACTGAAGTTTGGATTACAAGTCAGCTGGGCTTACTCCTGAATGACCAATCTATTACCTCCACTCACTTATGTAACTATCTCACATTACCTATTTGATAATCAAAAGGCATCAGAATCATGTCTCAAGCCAAATCCTTCACTTCTAAATGACAATTCTGTTCTTGAATTGCTCATGCAAAAACAAAACCAACCAAGCAAAACCGTGTTTGTTCATTTTTTTTTTTTTTTTTTTTGGCAAATTCAGTTGGCTGTTTTCTATTGGAAGCCAGGTCCAATTATTGTCCTCTCTTCACCGGATTATTATAGTAGGCTCCCTGTGGTCCCTCAATGCAGAAGTCAGCTTGGAACTTTTCAGACATGTCACATCCTCTCCTGGCTTCTAAGTGCCTTCCATTCTAAAATCAAAATCCTTCTCGCGGTGTGTACCAGCTGCATGCCCTTAGCTTTAAGGCTGAGTTCCTTTCTTCCCACAATAGCCTTTACTCATCTGCTACAGCTTCACTGGCCCCTTATTCCAGGGCCCTAAATTCACTCCCTCGGGGCATCTGAACTCACTGCTGCAATCGCCAAGAAAGGCGTTCTCCTAATACCACATGCTGCATCTTTTGCCTCTTTCAGCTGTGACTTGATATATCAGCAAAACTGCCCCCTGGGTCATGACATGTAAAACACCTACTCCACCAGGATGCACCACTTCCCATACTTTTTACCTATTTTACTTTCCTCTACGGCATTTGTTACTGTCTGACATACATACTTAAAGTCACTTCAGATGGTGCTACAATACAAGCTTGGGAAGCATGAAGTTTGTATAGCGTGCTGTGCCAAATACCTAGGACTTGCTGGCACGTACCACATTGCAGGTAAGTCATTAATGAATGAGTGAGTGGATAAGTGCTTCTGCCTCCAGAAAAGGAACAGTGTTGTGGAATACTAGTTGAAGATGTGTTGCATTCGTTTATGTTATGGAATATTTGTTTAATGATGCAAAGGTGTGCTGCATTCTTTTATGTGGCATTTGTTTAACTCTGTAAAGCTATGTTACTTTGCCTGCCCCAAACACCCGATCAGTCTAATAAAGAGCTGAAACACCAATAGCTAGGCAGAAGAGAGGAATGGGTGGGGCTGGCAGGCAGAGAGAATAAATAGGAGGAGACATCTAGGGAAGAGAGTGAGGAGTGAGAAGAGAGGAAAGGGGAGGGGGACACCAGGGACCAACCACCCAGCCACACAGCCAGCCATGGAGTAAGAAGGAAAGAAAGATATATAGAATAAAGAAAGGTAAAAATCCCCGAGGTAAGGCATAGTTAAAGAGAAATGGGATAATTTAAGTTAGAAAAGCTGGCTAGAAACAAGCCAAGCTAAGGCTGGGCATTCATAAGTAAGAATAAGTCTCCACATATTTATTTTGGATCTGGGTGGTGGGCCCCCAAAGAGTGAAAAAACCAACTACAGAACATCACGTTCTTTCTTGAAACTCTGGCTCCAGGTGTAAAATTCATAGAATTAGCAGCAATTAGCAGTCACGACTTCCCATGACTCAAACTTTACTTTTGCACAACTTCCAGAAGATAGTATTTGAAGATAAAGTTATCCTGGATGTCTTCCAACCCTTCCAGTTAATCCTCTGCAGCTTCAGGAAGCTCATACATAACCCTACCCACTTACTCAGGCAGCAGGCAGGCCCTCCAGTTTCTGTTGAAGCTGAGGATAGTGGCCATCTCCTGGTCACTCAGCTGGAAGTCAAAGACCTGGAAAGACAAGAGTCCCAAAGCTCCTTAGCAAGGAAAGGGCTGGCACCTGAGACTGTACATAAGCTCGCACTACATACAAACCATTTCTAGTTTAAGACTGAGTTATTTCTAGGGTTTAGAGTCACAAAATCTCAGTTTGCATAGTGTCTAATCCTTGAAAGACACATGGATCCGTCCAGAAGGTATTTCTTCAAGTCCAGTCCATTCAGCTAAAAGGTTGCTGTGAAGGCCAGGGCAGTCTGTACTTGGACAGGATAATCTATGGTCCTTGATCTAAGTGCTCATGGGAAAGCAAGGTTCTTCTCTGTGCATACGGTACACCTATGCTCAGAGCTGACAGGGCTTCTCCGGCTCTACCCTCAGCTCATGTGTGGCCCACTGGTGCTTTATCTCAGCTCTGTTGAGGCCAGCTCACTGGCACAAGAGTTCACGTGATGATGAGAAGTTAGGGACATCACTGATGCTGCAGGATAGGATGAGAAGCCTACTGAGAGTCCTCCGATACATACGTAGCAGAGGGTTAACCAGGATCTTACCTGAAAGTTCTCAAGTATCCGTGCTGGTGTCACGGACTTGGGGATCACCACCACATTCCTCTGGATGTGGAACCGAATCAGAACCTGTGCACAAAATGTGAAGGCATGTGTTCACTAAAAGAGGAGAATTGTGGTTTAAATGAGAATGGCCCCACAGGTCCATGTGTTAGAAAACTTGGTTGGCAGTTAGTGGATCAGTTCGGGAAGGATTAGGCGTGGCCTTGTTGGAGAAAGTATGTCACTGAGGGCGGGCTTAAGGTTTCCAGACTTATGTTGTCCCAGTGTGCTCTCGTCTTCCTGCTTGTGGGTTGAGATGTGAGCCCTTAGCTCCTGCTCCAGCACCATGCCTGCCTGACGGCTGCCATGTTCCCTGCCATGACGGTGATGGGCTCCTATCCCTCTGGAGCTGTAAGCTCCAAATAAACCCTGTTTTCCGTAAGTTGCCTTGGTCATGGTACCTTTCAGAGCAGTAGAAAAGTAACTAACACAAGGACTATCTCTGCAGCTCCCTATGGCTCATTTATCTCCCTTAATCCTGAAAGATACACCATGATTTCTCCAGTTAGAAGTGAGGACGTGGCAGGGAGCTGATGAAGAGTGGTGGTTCTCATTGGACACCACCAGCTGGATTTCCCAAAGACACCAATACACTTACATTTCCCACTTCTTCCTCTCTAAGGGATTAAAAGAAGGCAATATAAAGAATAAAGCAAGACTATAAAAATGTATTGCAAAACAAAAAACACCCAAAAACAAAACAAAACACCACACACCTTTAATCCTAGCATTCAGGGGGCAGAGGCTGGCAGATCTCTATGAGTTCAAGGCCAGCCTGGTCTATAGAGTGAGTTCTAGGACAGTCAGGGATATACAGAGAAACTCTCAAAAAACAAATTTAAAGGGATTGCAGGATTAAAATGGGAGCAGCATATTTTACCTGGGCTGAGGTTTTCTTGTGCTTTGCAGCAATCTCTTTAATCTTGGGGTCCTCTAGTAGTGAAGGGTCTTCTGGCTTGGCCCTAAAGGCAGAAAGATAGCTGGAATGAACAAGTCACCAGGGCTGTTCCATGCATTGAATGAACCCCACTTCCATGACAGTATCAAGGCTGAGCACCACAGCCTTCTCCAACTGCAAAGCAGTCAGGGGAGCCACCTGGAAGCATTGTATCTTTCCTGGGGTCCCATCCGTAGGCTCTGGAGCCTCGGGAATTTGTAAGCATGCTCTAGCACTAAATAGCAGAAATGGAGCACTCTTAAGAGGTAAGGCATCCTGTCTTTTCTAAAAAAAAAAACCATTGTGCCCGAGCCCCCCCAATCTGATTTGGGTATGTTAGATATATTGCTATAGAAACATTTTTTTCCAGGTGCATAAGAAATTCATACCAGCCAGGCGGTGGTGGCACATGCCTTTAATTCCAGCACTGGGGAGGCAGAAGCAGGTGGATCTCTGTGAGTTTGAGGCCAGCCTGGGCTACAGAGTGAGTTACAGGAAAGGCTCCAAAGCTACACAGAGAAACCCTGTCTTTAAAAAAAGAAAGAAAAGAAAAAGAAAAAAAAAGAAAGAAAGAAAGAAATTCATATCGATACTAGCCAATTATTAAACACTAATTTTAAGAGTGATAGAAGAGCCGGGCGATGGTGGCGCATGCCTTTAATCCCAGCACACGGAGGCAGAGCCAGGCGGATCTCTGTGAGTTCAAGGCCAGCCTGGGCTACCAAGTGAGTTCCAGGAGAGGCACAAAGCTACATAGAGAAACCCTGTCTCGAAAAACCAAAAAAAAAAAAAAAAAAAAAGAGTGATAGAAGAAAGTCACCACTTGAAGCCTCACCAAGGCCTATGTGGAGAGCCCAGGGGACTGTAGGCCGTGACAGTGATGCCCTTGGAGTGGCAGTACTGGATCAATTTCTCCTGGGTGAGGTATGGGTGGCACTCGACCTGCAAGAGAAAACACCTGTCACTAGGGAAGTGGGCCTTCCTTCCTGAGTGGCTCAGAGGAACTCCAGGCACAAGAAAAGACCAACACACAGGCCAAATACAACCCACTGATAGATGTGCTACAGACCAGACCCAGAGATCTGCCTCCCACCTCCCTGAGCATCCTGAACACTGACCTCAGAGATGAAACTCAGCAGATAGTATGGAAATTGCCTCCCAGTGTGGAAGCAGTCACAGAGCAGGACCCTTCACCAAAGAGAACTTACCTGGTTGGTCACTGGCTTGTGTTTCAGCCCAGGCTTGTTCAGGAGCCTTTCAATCTGCACGTGGTTGAAGTTGGAGACGCCCAGGGCTTTCACTAGCCCTTCATCCACCAGTTCCTCCATGACCTGTCACAGTAAGGAAGACCGTTTGATGGCTGTAGGAGGATACAGGGATGCTGGCTTGGCTTAGTCCTGAGATAAGAGGAATGGATAAACAACCCTCCAGGTTAGGTAAGCTGCGACACTAGAAATGTCAGTCCCGACAGTAGATGCCCGTCAAGGGGCAGATGCTGCTAGGAATGTATGTGCTCTGTGCTCACCTCACCCAAATCGGTATAACCTGAGAAAATAGGCTTCCTGGCTTTTACCCTTTTTCTCCCCCTGCTGTGTGTGTGTGTGTGTGTGTGTGTGTGTGTGTGTGTGTGTGTGTGTGTGTGTGTGTGTGTGTGTGTGAGAGAGAGAGAGAGAGAGAGAGAGAGAGAGAGAGAGAGAGAGAGAGAGAGAGAGAGAGAGAGATTGGGGATGGATGCGATGCTAGGGTCATTCAGGCACTCTGCTATTGAGCTACATCTCTAGCCTTTTTTCTTTTCATTTTAAAAGTTGAGACATGGTCTCTCTAATTATCCAGATTAGCCTTGAACTTCCTCTGTAGCCCAGGTTAACCTCATCTTGTGATCCTCCCGCCTCTGCCTCCTGCACCTGGATTACAGGCCTGTGTCATCAGAACCAGCTGCCTATCTGGGTTCTGACCCCCACTTTCCTCTGACATATAGCTTGTTTTCCAGTGGGGAGACATGCAGACATATCAGACCCTAGCAAGGTGCCCAACCTAGGGCTAGGTGGGTCTGAAATCTGGCCAATTGACTACTTGCCACAACCATGACTCTATGTTAACCCTAAGAACGGGTATTTCTAAAAATAATTTTGCCTAAAATGAACAATTCACAAATTTGTCAAGATATCATACTTGATAGTGGCAGCCACAAACTCAGCATGTACTTGTAATTCATTTATTACAAGTCCCTGCCGAGGAGTTTGCAGAATATAAAAGTACACAGTGTGTGTCTTTCAGTGAGCCATCAGCCTTCACAATGAGGCTGTTTGGGCTCATTTGACAGTGGGCATAACCCTGAGCATCAGTGTGGGAAGGAAGGAATCCACATGGGTCCCAGAATGACAGGATAAGCAGAGTTTAAATTGGGCCTGAAAAAAAAAATAGCACAAAGGAGGGAATCCATGAACAGAGCGCAAAAGAAGTCAGAAGCAAAACTAACAGTAGAAACCGTGAGAACTGGGTACAGTTTCTCAGCCTTCATGCAACTTGGAACCCTCTGAAAGCTTAAAAAAATGTTGCTGGGTGTGGTGGCACATAACTTTTATCCCAGCCAAGAGGCAGCCTGGTTTATATAGTGAGTTTCAGGGCAGCCAAAGTTACATAGTGAGACCTTGCCCCCCCCAAAAAAGTCTTGTGGTAACATTCCAGCCCCACTCCCAAGCTTCTTACTGACTTCCTCTGTGATACAGCCTTGGAAGTAGGATGTTCAAAACTCCCTGTTGAACTTAGTGTACGAAGTTGAGAGCCACCAGGCTGAGTGAAGGAGGACTTTGATAGGCAGAGCTATCTAGCGTTGATGAGACCAGGAGGTGGAATGAGATAATTTTAATGTGTTTGTATCCTAAATTAACTTTGGTTTGCATGTATGATCCACCCTACCTTCTTTACATTAATTTCCCCTGCCCTCTTCTGGAGGTCAGTCAGTAAGGTTTCTATTGGATTGGTGGTTGTTCCAAAGGAACTGCTCCATGCTCGCATGGTTAATCCTGCTCTTCTCTAATCAACACCTACAGCTTGTCTACATATGCTCTTAAAAGGTTCCATTTGGCGTTAATTATTGGATTCAGCCTTAGGACATAGCACTAGGCAAGTCAGGGATATCCTTAGGTATCTGACTGTGACAGAATTGTCATAGTTAATTCAGTATAAGAACCAAAGCTTGGGTGGTCTCCACATCTCACTATGAAATATTACTAAATTATTACATGGTCATGTACAACAGTTATCATGTCAAGTTATTAATAATAAGTTTCAGTGCAAAAATGAATGCCACACAGACTATTCATTGTTGTTTACTCCATGTGTATAAAACCACTCTATTGTTCACTAAGCCATCAATCAAAGTAGGTGGTTCTTTATTGTTGCTGGTCATTTTGGAGGCCTTTAATTTTTCCTTTTCCCATCCAGGTCAGAAAGACTCAAGAAAATCTTCAAGACCCATTATAAAAGTATAGACAGATTTTAGAATTTTATTTTCCTGCTGTGTTAGTGACTGGACCCAGGGCCTTGTGCTTGGGAGGTAGATTCTCACCAGTGAACTAAATCCACAATTTCTAAATTTCGCCCTAGACTTTCTTGTAACCCGCTTTCTGTTGCTAGCAGACATAATTAATGATTTACTTGTTGAGAATAATTCCTTTCAAAAATATCTTTAGGTGTTGTGTTATCTTTTCCAGGGGAGACACAGACATCTATTCAGCCCAGATGGGGTGCCAACAGCAGACCAAGTGACCCCCGAGTCCTTTGGGTCTACCACCCAAGTCTAAGCCGGTAAAACAACTCATTGAACTGCTTTCTCACAGGACCAAGAGTGAGGAGCTACCTATGGGAGCAGGGCCAACTTCAGAGCTGCTACACCACCAAAGAAAACGTCTTTCCAGCAACCATTAACCCCTTACGTGCCCACATGCAAGAGGAGGGGCCCTGTGTGCGAACTCTTGAGCTGCTCCTGACCCTGGTCTACCCCACGATCCCCGTGGACCCTCCTCCCAGCCTCATTTCACGAGGGAAGGTTAGTGGACCCAGTCTTGTGAGGGTCTCGTGTTTACAGGAGATTGCTCTGTTAAAAGAAAGCCAACTAGATCAGGCCCTCTGGATAAGTGAGACAATTGATCAGCATGAACTGTTTGGGAGGCACCCAGGCAGTGGGACCTGGACCTGTCCTTAGTGCATGAGCCGGCTGTTTGGAACCTGGGGCCTATGCAGGGACACTTTGCTCAGCCTGGGAGGAGGGGACTGGACCTGCCTGGATTGAATCTACCAGGTTGAGCTGAATCCCCAAGGGAGTCCTTGCCCTGGAGGAGATGGGAATGGGGGGTGGGCTGAGGGGAGGGCGGGGGGAGGGAGGACAGAGGAATCTGTGGCTGATAGGTAATATTAAATCAAATTATAAAAAAATAAAATAAAATAAATAAAAGAAAGCAATAGCCGTGTTTTGGCCAGAGCACAGCATTCCACAACAATAGGGCTGCCAGCCCTGCCATTATAAAACATCAGCGGTGGCTCTGCTTCCTCTCCGTCCCTTCCACTGTTACACACCGTGTTCTCCATACTATCCTGCTACCTCCAGTTAAAGTTCAGAGTAGCGAAAACACTGTGCTGGGGTCTAAACACTTTGGGATAAACTAACCATAGAAGAGTTACATTTAATGTCATTCTATCAGTTCCCTCCTCTTAGGAAAACCCGTGTAAGTCATTCTGAAGTAGGGAGACACAACCCAAATTCAGGGCTGCTGGACAAGCAACACATGAATTCTTGGAATCTCTATCACTGCTTGTTTATGACTAGCTCGTTCACTTTTTCCACTGTTGATGTTTGAAAGCACCCACAACCTATTTAGCTTTTGAACATTATTTTGGACATCAAGTGTTGATCTGGGTTCTCCAAAGGAACACAGCTGATAGACTGAATTGTTTGGGTTTTTAAAAAGCAAGGTGCTTGCTATTTTCTGATGTTTAGATATATGCTCACTGTTTGCCACGCATGGTGCTAAAAATTTTGGTAACTGGACTTTTGAGTCAGATAGAACTGTGTCTAATCTTAATTGTGTCATACCCCTGTTGTGTAACTTGATGATGTCCCAATTCTCCTGGTTACTGATTTCATCATTTGTGCATAGAGAAAGTAACATTCCCTCACACGGTTGGTGACTAATGCACCGTAATGAAGCTTTGGATGTTAGCTCTCTTCATCCTTATCACACCCTGAAGGATATAGAGCGGTAGAGTGTATTATGTGAGTGTGTTCACGGTGTGTATGTGCAGGAACACAGGCCATGACAAGTATGCGAAGGTCAATGGACAACCTCAGGTGTCGTTCCTCACCTTTCACCTTGCATAAGACAGGGTCTCTTTGTTTTCATCTCTGTATATACTGCACTAATGGGCTGAAGATCTGGGGACTGTCTGTCTTTCCCTCCTACCTTGCTGTATGAGCACAGGAATTACAGACATGTGCTTCCACACCTGGCTTTGTGTGCATTCTGGATTCTTCTGCTTGTGCAGCAAGCACTGAACCACTAAGCCTTCTCACAAAAAGCCCATATCTAAGAATTAACTGGCTTGAAGGAGTTCAATCTTTTCCCTAGGCTAGCTGGGTGTGGTGGTGCATGCTTTTAATCCCAGCAGAGGTAGGCAGATGTCTGAGTTCTAGGACAATCAGGGCTGCACAGAGAAACCCTGTCTTGAAAACCCAAAATAATAATAATAATAATAATAATAATAATAATAATAATAATAATTTCCCTTGGCTACTCAGCTAAATTGTACAAGTCAAGACAGCATCCTTGTACCAAGCACCTGCTGTTAGTGTCAACACAGCACACGTGCTTACCACAAACTGAGGAACACTGTATTTCTTGTCTCAATTAAGATCCTAATAGTCACCTCAAAAACAAAGGATTTTAATCCCAGAACCTGGGAGGCAGAAGCCAATGGATCTCTGGGAGCTCCAGGCTAGCCAGGGATACACTGTGGGACCATCTCAAAAAAAAAAAAGTAGATGATGCCAGATGAACCCTAAATCCAAAGATGGTAAGGAAGGAGTAGGAAGAACTTGAGGAAATGAGACAGAATTACACACAAGACATGGGCCTTTTCATACCGTAATGACAACATCTCCATTGGACAGTAGAAGCTGGAACCTACCTCCCAGGCATCCAAGAATGTTATCTTACTGGTGAGGACATTGCCTTGGTCGTCTTTGGGGAATAACTCCTTTCCAGGCTGTAAATACAAAACAAAATGCCCGTTGGCTGAACCTGCCCTATGAAGCAAGGCTCCAGGACAGTGAAATACCAAACATCAGCTTCAATACCATCTCTATCCCAACCTACTGTAGTAGGTAAATCCTAAATTACAGAAGCTGCTGGACTGATTCCCAAATCTACTACTGTATGTCAAAGATGCTATCAGGAATTTTCATCACTGTGGAAATGAACGCAGTGTACCTGGACCCACATAGACCCGGAGGAAATTTTAATTTCAATATCACTAGGCACGGGCTAGCTCTGAATGGTATAGTTTGCTGAAGACTGTAACCAGATCCTGTCCTTGACTCCTCTGGAGTCCAGAGCTTGGGTGGTTACCATCACCCTAGCTGTGCATGAGTGAGGGGAGCTACTGAGAACTCCCAGCCCTTCAACCCCTCACAGCAAGCAGACGCAGGGCTCCGGGAGCTGAGTAATGGGGGGTTTTGTTTTGTTTTGTTTTGTTTTAGCATGGATTTAATACTTCCCAACATTGTCATACTTGGGCTTTGCTCTGGGAAGCCACTCCCTAGGCACACTTTGCTTGGAAGGAGTGTCAAACTTTAAAATAGAATATGCAAGAATAGCCAAAGACATCTTTTGAGAGGGCATCACTGGACCTGGAATCAACAGGAAGTTGGCAGGCTTCTCCCCTGCCCCCCTTCCCACAGCCCTATCTCAGCAGCCATAGAAGGTACGGAAAGCAGCTCATACCTGAAGTCCCTGTGGCCAGTGAATAAGATAGAGGTCCAGATAGTCCAGTTTCAGATCCGTGAGGGTCTTCTGAAAGGCTTCCTTTAGCAGCTTCCTCTCAAAGCAGGTGGGCCACAGCTGCAGAGTGCAACAAGGAAGCATTAGAAACTGGAGAGGGGGCCACGCTAAGCTCACCCTCCCTGCTCTGAGATTTACAGTCTGATCTCACCTCAAGACAAGCTATTTATATTTAACCAAATTGGCTAATTAACATACATGATCTGATATGCAAGGTTCCAAGGGCTCCGTGAGTCAGGTTATTTCCTGCATGTTCAGGGTGATTTGTTTTCCCATGCTTACAGAATTCTGTGTATTTCTTAGATCACTTAGCATTCTGAGGATATTGGGGCTTAGTCACATATCTCCAAGACACCAGACCCTAATGGTGAATTACAAGGAGTTTAAGTGGCCACTCTGTACAGTGAGTCTGTTTCTCACACCAGATGCTGCTGCTTCCAAGTGGGTAGAGTGTCCCAGCTAGTTATACCCAAACAACCACCTCACACTCCACTCGCCTCTCTCCTTTTTTTAAAATAGCATTTTATAATTCACCCTTTACTGAATTGAGATAAAAAGGTATTCCTATGTAATGATTAAAAAAAAAAAAAAAGCTCTCTCTACATAGCCACGGAGAACACAGTGCCGAGCGGTATGGCTCAGGGCCCATCCCTTTTCCAAGGGATTTATTTTATTTATTATTTATGTGTACATGCCTATGTACACTCGAATGTGAGTGGGTTGCCTGTAGAAGCCAGAAGAGGATGTGGAGTGCTTTGGAGCTTGAGTTACAGAAGCTGTGAGCCACCCCCTGTTAGTGCTAGGAACCAAATTGTGGTCCTCTGCAAGAACTGTATGCACTCTTAACCCCTGAGCCATCGCTCCAGCCCCAGGACCCACCCTTGATGGCACCCCTAGCTTCTGACCAGGTAGAAGGATCCCACTGACAGAAAGCAAGACAGTGAAGAGCACACTCGAACCTCAACATAACCATCTGGTTATGGGAAAGCTAACACTGGAGGGTGGGCCAACAGCGGAACCTTCTCAGTACTGACTTGGGGTGTGGATCTTCACGCCCACAGACGTAACAAGAGCAAGGAAGGAGTTTAGGAGAATGATGGGTAGGGCTCTTGGTATGGACCAGGTTCTTCTACTGGCTTTGAAGTCATGTCCACCAAGTGGGCCATTGTACCTTGCTGACAATGAAGAGGTCTTCCCGCTTCACAGCCTTCCCTTTGATCTTCTCTTGGAGGGCTTCTCCTACTTCGTGCTCATTGTAATAGGCATACGCACAGTCAATATGGCGATATCCAGCATCAATGGCCACCTTCACAGCTTCCTTGACTTGGCCTGGGGGAGACTAAAAGGCAACAGAAAAGGCCATTGGATGCTCTTATGCCAAGACTTTGCTCACCAGACTCCACACAGCCCAGCTTCTGAAAACCACAGCATGGCTGGGGGACACTGGGGAAGAAAACCAACTTTTCAAGGGGAAGAAAAAGTGGACCGTAACGTTCACCAGCACATGTTCTCTTCCCAGCTAAAAGTCAGTTCCCATCAAATCCACCAGCTCTTAAAGAGTCTCTTGTTTCTGAGGTGACAGATGGCTCCCACTGCAACTTGCTGAGAGCCAAACTCAACTCTGAAGTGACCCAGAGGAATTTCAGCCCCAGACCACGTGAAGAAGGTGGAGAATGATAAATTCAGACTCTGCCACACAGCAGTGTAAATGGACGGAATACCGTAGACTTCTTTTTTAAACAAAAGCCAAACCACTGGGTGTGGTGGCCCATGTGTGTAATCCCAGCATTTAGGAAATAAGAGGCAGGGGGATTGTGAGTTTGAGGCCAGCCTGGGGTTCATAGTTGCCTTCAAAATAAAACATGAATATAAAAAAGCCTTCAACCAACCAAACAAACAAAACCAACCAACCAACCAAACAAAGACCCTTCCTCTCTCACCAACTCTAAAAATGTCTTGGTTAAGTATCAAACACAGAAAAGCACCACAGAGATAAACGATCTGCTTCCCTGGGACAAGACATGGCCTCTAGCCATTCAGAAATACCTGGGCCCTCCCCTCATACCATACTTGCCTGCCTTTCTACAGGTAAGAACAGACTCGTTCAGGTCAATGCCACCTCCTTATCTTTAAAACAACTCCCTTGCCCAGCTCTCCGTCTAATTTTGAATTTCTGAGAGTTACTTCTGAGTAACTCTCAGAAGAGTGCCTGTCAGCTTGGTAGAAAGTGAAATTTCTGTTATAGAGCAAATTCAAGTAAGATTTCAACCCAGTGCTGAAACAAGGCAGTGTCCTATCTGTGTCCCACGGGCAGATGAAAAGACAGTACAGGAGACGAGGCAGTGGCTAAATCCCTAGAACAGGAGCCATGGGCTCCAACAACAGCTCCTTGGAGAGGCTCACACCTGTAATAACATCTGGAGGCTGAGGCAGGGGGATTGCCAAGTTCAAGGCCAACCTAAGCTACAGGGTGAGTTCTAGGGCAACTTGAACTCCCTGTCTCCAGAAATCAAATAGAGAGCTCCTTCCTGGAAACGAGTTAGCCACTGTCCTATTATCACCAAGGGAAGTGCAAGGCAGGGTTGGGAGATAGAACAGTATCAGACTTGTCTCAACAGAGGCTGGGGAATCTGCTTCACTGGAAAGGAAGATGGGCCAGGGGACATTCTGCCAGGGGAGTAACACTGCCAGGCAGACCCCGAGCCCAGGCTCTGTGGTCTTCGTGCTTAGAGTTTAATGTGCCCGGGAATCGGGTGGAGTCTTGGTAAGGGGCAGGGGCCAGTTCAGTAGCCTAGGCAGGGGTCTGAGACTCTGTCTTTCACACAGGCTCCAGGCCAGATCCTCCTGACGGAGTCCTTCCCCATTGGCAGCAAGGAAAGCTGGGGCATGTGGAGCTCAGTGTTCTGTCTTTGAATTACTCAGCAAGAAAAAAACCCAAAACACAGTCAAGATCTATAAAATGTTGGGGGTCTCATAAGTTCAGAGGAAAGCTTGCTAAGAGAGTAACTGCCTGGAGCCTTTTGTTTTTAAAGTCCAGGGACAGCTGGAAACTTGACATTTGTTCGAGAAGTTATCATCACGGCTCAGAAAAACCTGTCTGAGCTTTGAGGCCTGAAGCAGTACAAAAGCCAGCAGCAACTTGGGTCCTGGCTCCAGGATTCCAAACCCTCAGCAGATACTGGGGAAAGAGAAGGAAATGCCAAGATTCTACTTGAAGACAGCAGGTCTCCCAAGACGGCACACTCACCTGCCAGGTGCCCAGGCCCACAATGGGCATCTTGGCTTTGGTACTGAGCTCCACGAAGGTGGCCATGGTTGCTGTCGAAAACTTCCTGAGAGAGCCGATGTCCGTGTGCTGGTAATGAGGCTTGTGGAGGCTTTATATCCTGGACGAAGAGGCGGAATCCTAGTGCATGAGCAAGCAGCCACACCCAGGGACCGACTCTGAACAGGAAGTTTATCTCAGTCTTCTGTAAGACTGAAGAGAGTGAATGAGGATTAATCATAACCCAGTAGAAAGTCTCCCTTGTGCAGCGTGAATTACTCTGGGAGAGCTACTTAGAGGTTTATGAACCTAAATAACACGGGGTGAAAGGTCCTTCAAGATGCATTGCTGAATTTGCTTGAGATGCAACATTTCGTGGAGAGTAGTGAACCCTGTAGATATTCCAAGAGGTTAAAGCATGCCAAAGTTTTCAGAGGCAAAATGAGGAAGGAGGCTTTCATCAGTTATTTTGTGACAACTGTTGTCGATTACAGAAATCAACAACAGAGGTGCTGGTCTGAAGTTAAAAGACAGACAGGCAGGGATTGTTGCAGGGGAGAGAGAGAGACAGTGTGTGTGTGTGTGTGTGTGTGTGTGTGTGTGTGTGTGTGTGTGTGTGTGTGTGTGTGTGTGTGTGTGTGTGTGTGTGGCGGGGGAGGGGACAAGACACTTGGAGCAAGACTATGGTGTTTTAGAAGTGTCTATTTTCTGTCTTTTTTTTTTTTTTTTAAGTTTTACTCATCTAATTGCTGGAAGATTGTGAAAAACAAATTTCCCCTGTTAACCACCAGGTCAGGACCCTTTCTTTGATAATGGTCTCTCTCTCTCTTTTATTTGAGATTTGGCCAGTTATATTTATAATGACCTTTTAAACTTTTTGTGCTTACAAACTTTTTGTGCTTATATTTAAAAAAAGACTTTTTTGTAATTACAAAAATATTATATAAAACTGAGGAAAATGTGAACAAGAGAGACAATGATAAGGTGGGGGTATAAAGCACCTTCATTCCGGTCACTCAAGATGTCACTGCCCAGTGCTTTTTCCTCAGATCTTTCTCTCCGTGTGTGTTAGTTTCTATGCACTGCACTCATGTTTTCAAAGTTGACACCAAAGACAAGCTTATTTACACATTTAGAGTAAATCATTTTAAAAGTGCTTTTGTGACAAACATTTGAATATTTTATTTGATTTTGCCATCATTTATCCTGCCATTTCCACTATTCTTGGATATCTGCTTGATTTCCAGCTGGTTTCTATTACGTATAAATAATATTTCAAAGTATATCATTGCAGTGAGGCATTGGACACAGAGTCCTTGGGATAGATCTTTAGAAGTAGGAGTATATACACAAAGGAGATTTGTTTTGGTTTATCTTGTGATGTCTGGGTCCAAACTGATAGTTTTTTCTAAGTGGGAATTTTCTCTTCTGCCATTTATTGAATAATACATATTATTATCTTACCTCCATATTTATAATTCTCCAACACTCCTGTACAAATGTTCTTGACTTTTACTTTGTTGATATTATAAAACTAATACATGCCCTCTATAAAGAGGAAAAAATATCAAAACAAACAAAAGATTTTGCAGAGTTGTAAGAGAAGAAAAGTTGTTCATATTTCAAATTTAGAGATAATTATCATTAATAACATTGGGGTGCAACTGGAATGTACGGATGACTGGAGAAGTCCCAGATTGTACAAACACTATACCCCATTTCCCAACATGAGCCTAGGACAGAAATATCAAGCCCACGATGGAAGCCCTGACCCCAAGGATGCCCACAGTGACAGTGGCCAATAGCCTGGCATGTGCCCAAGGCATCTTCAGTGTCTCCCCAGAACAGCACAGAGAAGAGCTCAATTGTCTGTGGAACTGACTGAAAGGAGACATAGCTCACGTCATAGTCGGCAAGGTTAAGGTTGCAATGTGTGTATAACTTAATATATTTGAGAGAGACAGAGCCAAGGTTGAGGCTCTCTGTCTAAGGATTTGATGGTGATATGGACATCTTAGTAAGGCTGATTACATCTGAGGATCCAATAAATTAATTCATAGGATGACCAACTTCAGGTAGATGTCACAGTCAAGCCCACCTCACACTGTGACATTTTTCTTTACATGTTGCCCCACCCCATTGAAATCCCACTGACACCTGGAGAGATAAAATCCTAAGTATAGTAGATTTGAATCCATATGTAAAGGGAAGTAAAAATGAAATACAAGGGGTCAGCAGTAAACTAAATTGAAGAAACTCCATTTACTTATTCTAAAGATGCTGCAGGCTCCTTCATGTTAGCTAGAGCATGGTAGATGGGTGAATGTGCAGGTCAAAAGCCAGAGTTCCTTGTGCTATCTGTAATCATCTTTACAGTCAACTTCTTTATCTAACCTAACGTCCAGACTTCTAGATAAAATTCCAGGTATCTCAAAGCTTGATGCACCTCTAGCATCCAGCCGTCAGCCTCAGAACGGACAAAGCCTCCACATCATGCTCTCACAGAAGAGAGCGCTCTACCTTGCTGTAGTCCACACATCTGATGCTTCTCCCGGTATCACTGGTAGTGTTGACCAGTGGATTTCTTCTTAGCCTTTCCTCCTCTTTCCCCTTCTCTGTTTCTTCTTTCCTTTCTCATGCAGCCAGGGCTTGTCTCAAACTAGCCACATAGCTGAGAATGACCTTGATCTCTGGGTCCTCCTGCCTCTACCTCCTGAGTACTGGAATTACAGGTTTGGATTGCAGAAGCATCTGTTCCTGTCTTCCTAATTTCCAGTGAGTTCCAGGTTGGAGAGGTCATCTTGCACCCACATTGGGCTGCTCATAACTGCCTGTAACTTGAGTTCCAGGAGATCCAATATGTTCTTCTGGCCTCGTTGGGCATCTTCACTCATGTACACATATCCACACAAGTACATATAATTACAAAACAAATAAATGTAAGCCTTTCCAGACTGCCATTCCACAACACAATGATGTACACTCAGGGGACCCCTGTCCCCTTGGTGGCTTGGCATTCATGTGGCTCGGTGCTCTTGTGGTTTGACACTCATTTCCACTTTCCCAGGTTTATGATTTCATTGTCACAGGCACCACAATTTGCTTATCCATTTCCTTCTAGAAGGTCATAGAAGTTTCATCCATGTTAACTTTTCTGTTGGCTCACAATGAGTCAGCAATTTACCCATAGATGACTATTGGAAGGCTAGCTAATGTGAATAGCTAATGTAAACAGGAACTTGTCGCTGGGGGAAGGAAAATAAGAGTGTGGCCTGTTGAGTGTTTCCAGAGGAGAGGGGACAATAGAGTCTTGATTGTGAAGATTGCCATTCTAGATTAAGTTCAAGTAGCATTGGAACAGTTCTGACCTGACTGGAGCCAGCTGTAACAGTAACCCAGGAAAAATGACTTAGGTCGTGCCATGATGTGACATCATTTTGGGTTGACACAGCAAGGTATTTCTGTGTGTGTGTGTGTGTGTGTGTGTGTGTGTGTGTGTGTGTGTGTGTATGTGTGTGTGTTAGTTTTGTTTTGTTTTTTTAAGATTTTATCTATCTATCTATCTATCTATCTATCTATCTATTTATTTATTTATTTATTTATTTATTTATTTATTTATGTGTATGGATGTATGCCTGCATGTATGTCTGTGCACCACATGCATGCCTGGTGCCCTTGGATCCCCTGGAACTGGGGTTACTGATAATGTAGCCACCATGTGGGGGCCGGGAATCAAGCCTAGGTCCTCTAGAAGAGCAGGCAGTGTTCTTACACACTGAGCCACCTCTCCAGCCCCATACTTTGAATCAACTATATATGGTTTAATAAAGGCTTGTTTAGATACTTTCTTACTTTGTTAATTTACCAATTTACTCCTGGCTTAATTTTTATTATTGTTGTGTATGTTTACACGCAAGTGCATGAGTGTAGGTGTGTGCCATGGTGAGCATACGGAGATCAAAGGACAATTTTCAGGAGTTGATTCTCCCCTTTAAGCTTGCACAACCTGTTACGAAAGAATTCCAGCCTGGGAGAACCAAGAAATCCCCATGCCTAAATGCCGGTGGTGGGCTATTGGCTTACTTCACATAGACCCCGCCTCTCTGATGGTGTTAATGACGAATGACCCTGACAAGACTGAGAACTGGTTGGAGGTCCCTCCGCGGGGATGTTGTGAGCAGCTGGAGATGACCAAAGCGGAAGAAATGGAGCAACAGACAACGCCATCAGACATTATTTATTATAGCCCTCATTTTCAGGGGACGTTTGTCCTGGCTGTTTGCAGTAGCTTAGTCTGTTGGAGGGGGAACCTCCTACTTCAACGTATGTGGTAGTGACCAAGCCATTCATGTATCTGCTAAATACATGAGTTTAATTGAGAAATGTGTCTCTCAAAGTTAATAAGGCATTTAATAATGAAACTGCTCCCTTGGAAGATGCCCGCCCACTTTCCAAGTTGTCCCTTGTAATGATATCCAACTGCAGGGCTCTGCATGTGAAGAGTTCCTGAAACAACGCCCATGTTACTCACACTTGTTCCTGGTGGGACCAGTCCTGCCTTCTAGGTGTTCCTGCTGGAGCCAGGCTGAAGGACAAAAAGTAGTTTCTGTACTGAAAGGTCCCAGGGGCCCAGGGAAGGGTGTATAGAGCTCCTGACCCATTCCCCCCTCCCCCATAAAGCACAACGCTGCTGTAGTGCTTCCAAGGTTCTGAGGGAGGGCAAAGAGAAGAGCTGTGTGTCTCGGGACAGGCCACTATCACAACAGCCAGGCTGGACAGGAGAGATTGGTTAGGGCAAGAGAGGCAAGAGGCACCCCCACGGGGGACATTTGGGGTCCTGTGTGCAGCCAAGCAGGCCCTGGTTACTTCTAGGTAGACATAGAATAATGTGACCTCTCCTGCACCCGCAGGCTATTGAGGCCTTGGAATGCCAATTGCAAGCTAGATTACAGTCTCTGTATGCAATGTTGGATAAAAATTTGAATTTTATTAAGATATTCTTCCCTAAGAAAGTCAAAACTGATAGTCTTATTTATTTATTTTTGAGG